TTTTTGCCGGTCATGGGGCCTGAACTCTGGGCCTGGGCGCTGTCCCTCAGCTCTTCAGCTCAAGGCTAGAGCTCTACCACTGGAGCCACAGTGCCACTTCCGGCTTTTTCTGTTTATGTGGTGCTGAGGAATTGAACCCAGGGCCTCATGCTTGCAAGGCAAGCGCTCTACCGCTGAGCCAACTTCCCAGCCCAACACTAAATATTTTTAAAAAATATTTCTGTCCTTCCCATTAGAAAAACTGAGGAAAAAGAGGAAAGGTAGATGGTGAGAGTATTCTTTCCATTCTGATTATCCTGCTGCCCTCTTAATCAATGGATTAGCACTGGGAAGTAGAAAGCAAGTAGGTGTGGCCAAGAGTCAGATGGGGATGGTGCTTCTGTTCCTTGTAAATGACAAGCAGTGTTCTCTGAAACTTAAAAAAAATGCGTACAAAAATCCTACATCATCTGCATTATTAGTGGATTCCCAGTAGACAGTATTGGGGAGGTAGAGGGTAAAGTTAGCAGTTTGGGATCACATAATCTGTCTGCTTAAAATTCATCAGGGTTATTTAAATACTGAACCTAAAATGGCATAAGAATAAATGAAACATAATTTGGTTGCCATGGTGTTTAGTGCACTCTGAAAAGAAGAAAGAAAAGAAAAGAAAGGCTCAGAATAGCCCCAAACTACAGCAGTCAGGACAGGATAAGTAACTGTAAGAGTGGAAACATTCTCTTGGGAAAGTTGAACCTCCAACCTCTGAGCCCTGATGTGGAGGGTGGGCGGAATGCAGGACCCACAGTGCATTTGCCATCTGCCCTATGGCTCTGGATAGGACCAGAGCTCCTGGACTTGCACCCCATCCTAGAGGGACTAACACAAATCTTGGTATTTAGTTCCACAAAGTGGAGCCCAAGAAAAGAAGCAAGTTATTGTCAGTAGCAGAGAATATGCTGGGCATAAGCACTGTACACTTTCCTGCTTCAAACCCTTCCACACACCCCTTCTGTGTTTAGCTTTCTGTAACCAACTTAACTTTTCCTAGGCTCAGGCTTTGTCTGTGCAACAGGAATGTCACACTTGGCTCATAGGTCGAGAGAAGGCTTAAATGAAGCAATACATGTAAGTTACAGGGTACCAGTGGCTACTGGTGGCTCACGCCTAAAATCCTAGCTACTTAAGAAGCTAAGATCTGAGGATCCCAATTTGAAGTCCGACAGACAAATCCTTGTCTCTGACTAACCAGGAAAAAAGCAAGAAGTAGAGCTGTGGGTCAATTGGTAAAGCACCAGCCTTAAGAGGAAAAAGAAATGAGAGAACAATGGTCTTGAGTTGAAGTCCTGATACCAGCACCAGAAAAACCCAGCAACACCTAAGTGAAAGAATGTACAGCAAATGGTTACTGCTATCAAATTTAGAGGAAGGTTTTAGGAAGTGGTGATGGTGGTTGAAACCAGTTCCTTGCATGTGCTAGGCAAGCACTGTACCACACTGAGCTACATCCTAGCTCTTGAGAGAACTTTTCAAATGCCTTTAAATGTAGAACGTTAAAAACAGTAAATGGAGTGTTAAAAAGGCAGAAGGTAAAATAAGATACCATTTCTAGTCTTCAAGTATAAGTGGTTGAATATCACTGGTGAGACAGAAGCAGCCCGTAGGCAGCTAGGAGTCGTCATGGCTGGCTTCATCAAGGGAATCACCACCTGTCCTGATCATGAGGAAGCACCGCAGAGGTCTGCAACTGACAGTATGGCCTCAGAGGGCACCCAAGAACCTCTCAAAAAGAGGTTCACACTAGCATGTTTGCTTGTTTTGTGTGGGTTATTATGGTATATCTGTTAGTTTGTTGAGATGAAATCTCACTGGATAGCCCAGGCTAGCCTCCTGCCTCAGCTTCCCAAGTGCTGGGATTGCAAGCAAACACTACCACCCTCGGCTGAAATCTCTGTATATGCATTTGCTGTGGAAAATAGACCTTCTAAGGGGACCAGAAAGCTTATCCAGCATGACCCATCATGCTGTTTATAATGCAAGTTACCTACTTATAGGTTTCCCTATAAACAGGTAAGTTGGGAAGTTAAGTTCTAGTCATAGGTGAGCGTATGGTGGGAAGATGTGGCTGCCTTCTCACCACCAGCTTTGCTTGTGTTGCCAGCTGACTCATGGTGCATAAATACCACATTTAAGGAGCAGGCAGAGCATTCGTTCACTTCATGCTGTGCCTCTGAAGACAGCTGTTCAGTTTATGGCTCAGAAAGCCAGTTGCCTATGGAGACAGTGGGAATACTATTACTATAGGAGTCTATAGACAGT